CCTCAAGACACACCTCGCTCGCCCCACGGGCCACACCCTCCCCGCGTTTCGGACCCTCCTCTGGGCCCGGGCCTGCCGAAGCGGGCAGTCACGGCCTAGCTCCTGGGGCCCTGGCCTCTCACTCCTCTCGAGCGCTCGCAGGGGACGGAAGAGTTAATTCGTGCCATTTTCAGCCTGTCCCACCGAGGAGGTGACCACCTGGGCGCTCAGAGACGGGATGCTGCCGGGAATCCCAGGCTCTACCAGAATTGCCAGGCGCTGGGACTCGGGGTGCCGGGTCCTGGAGCGCTGGGGCGGGGTGGGGAGTGAGGGACGCAGGATGGGCCTGGGAGAGGCAGGCCTGGAAAGGCAGGGGAGCCTCGACGCTGGGGCGCAGGCGCCCTCTCGCCTGCCCCGCTGCTCCCCAAAGGGAAGGAGCCCTGGCAGGGTTTCATATTCCCTCCGTGTGGGTTCACAGGTGCCTGGGTCGCTGTGCTCGCCAGGCCGGACAGGGTGGCGGTGGCGGGGCGCACGGGCCACGGTTACTGAGGCCTCACCTGGGGCCTCCAGTCGGTCTCAGTTTCCACAGCGAACCCGCTGGTGGGCCTCTAGGTAAAGGGTGGAAACTGCAGCGCACTTTTTGCAGTGGGGTAAGAGGAAAGTGTAAATGCAGCGGGGAAGTGCACAGTGTAGAGAACCGTGCAGCCCTGGCGTCCAGTTTCACCTCCTCGGCTAAGTGGCAGGGGTGCCCTGTCGTCCCGAGGCCTCAGTGTCGGCCTCTGTAGAATAATATTCAGGCCCCTGTACCCGTGGAAACGCTCTGGGATGGAAGCAGCGCGCAGGGCAGCAGCAGCCCCCCGGGGGACCAGCGCCCCGATGACCAGCTCCAGGCACAGCCAGGCTCTCCCTGCGTGTGCGTCTTGGGGCGGCGCAGGGCTCCCGGAGTGGAGACCCTGGAGGCGGTCCTGCGGTTCCGCGCGGCCCGCGGAGCAGCTGGGGCCGGGAAGTTGGAGGGAGGGCCGACTTGAGGGCCCGGAGCGCAGCGGGCGAGCGGGACGCGGGCTGGGAGACGCTCGGAAGGGGAGCGGGCCGAGAGCCCCATCGCGCGGTCAAGGCCGGGAGCCAGTCCCCAGGGCGCCCCGCACTGAGGCTCGGAGGCCTCAAGCCCCGGGTTATTCCGAGGGCCAGACAAAGAGGGGCCGCGAGAGAGAACGGCGGGGNGCGCCGGGTAAACGGTGAGGCGCCGCCGAGGGGAGCGGCCCCGGGACGCACCATCTCCCAGCAGCGACCCTTCGGGGAGCGGGAACATTTCTTACGGGTGGGACAGACCAGACACGTCTGCGCTGTACCAAGGGTGGGGCTGGGGTCCGGAGAGGAAGCGACCGGCGTCCCCGGGGCGGGCGCGGGG